TCATGCATCTCCAGCAGTAGTAATCTTTCACTTCCCGATACGACAGGCATTGCTCAGAGTAGTCGGCGTACTGCAGTGCGTATGTGCAGAGTGACGTCAGTGTAGCTTGTATGATAAGCGCGTGCTGGGAAAAGACCGCTCGAGCAGTATCTTTGGTGTTGACAGAGTAATAAAGAAAGGGGTTGTCGGATATCTGCCGAGCCCCTCCGTACCAAGCGTGGTTTCAATCTTTCACTGCTGTAGGTTATCATCAACCCTTTAGCAGATGCATCAAGCCCCCGGTTCAAGCACATGTGAAGTATGTATACCAAACCCGTCAGCGGATAGATCACTCATGTCGCAGTCGACTGGAAGTTTGGGCGAATAGTTATCAAGGATATAAAGAGAAGTCAATGCGCCCGTGTCCCCGCCTCAAAAACACGAAGATTAGAAGGAGAATATGAGACGAAGTGAGCCAGCCCCGCGACCGAAGTTCAAGAGTGTCCATTATAATTCGTCTTGACGTACGACGAGGTCGAAACTAGGATAGAATGCTTCATCGGAGCTATTATCATGTCCACAAATCCGCTGCAAACAGTCCGCAGAGCTCCGCAGCAGCGTGCGTAGCACCAGGCTTCAGACGCGAGGAAGTGAATTGCGGCCAGGGCGCGAAATGAGTTGATTCATAGATTTTGTAAACACATTCGTCGGCTAGTCCGAGTAAGTCCAGTCACTTCATCGGGTTGTACGAGCATAACAGATCTGCTGATACATTCAGCCACTGCAGCGTAGTCTTGACTGTGATCCGTGGAGGCCTGTGATATGGGACTTACTAGCCAGCGACCTTGTACATGATGTGCCGATATCACAATGCGGATACTCCATATCGATCGTCGGGTGGATGTGTATAGTGTGCGCAGTACAGGTAAGCATCTTCATCCAGAGGACGGCTGATAGCCAAGCGGAAGATGAGCTATCCCGGAACTAACCTATCAGTTTAACAACCAGCAGCATTGGTGTTCGATGTAGAAGGATCAATCGTCGCCGCCGTAGAGCGTTCCCTCATCTCCTGAATCCCGAGGCTGATTAGACTGGCCGATGTGGAATGTAGGTCCGCGATACCTAGAAGGGGCGCAGGAACGTTAGCGACTGAATTACGACAGCGCTCGATACCCAAAAATGAGATCTCTCACTGGCTGTTGCAGTGCATCTACGAAATGAGTGCAGATGATGCACGATGGAGAGGCTCGCTGGAGAAGACGAGACGGAAGTGGTGTTCTCGTGCTAAGATCCGCACAGCCAATAAGGAGATGCCAAGCCCGCGGTGGCCCGACGTCATCCCCGGAGATTCGACCTGGAGATGCTCACCACAACTTCTCCAACCACATCACTTGAATCGCGCCCATCGGACTCTGATCTGTGTTCCCGCATTGTTCTATTATCACTGTCACCAACGCACATCTTAGCACAGTTCTTTGCGCGCATCACGATCCCACAGCGCTGAATCAGCTCAAGGCAGCGGGCATCCTGCTCCTGTGCGCCCGCTGCAACCGAGCGAACCATACATCCACAATTCCGCGCACAACAATTTGCGCAGGAGATCGCGCTGCGCTGGATCCGGCGGCACCGGAGCTAGACTCATAATGATCCCAGATACTAGAATGGCAGCGTCAGCGAGGACTCCGACCGGGGCTATAGTAGAATCTACTCCAGGCTACCTGTGATGAGAACTGGCTTTTCGACCTCATCGCCAGGTCTTCACATGTTCAGCACTCGGTCCCGATAAACCAGAGCGACAAAAGCGCATTTGGCCCACCACAGGCTGCGTTCGCCAACTGCACAACGCCTTGTCGACAAACGGAAGCTGCTATACGAAGGAGCGCTGACTTCCAAATGTAACCCGGGGCTCTCCGCTGGATTTCCACTCTCCTGCGACACCCACGCCTCTCATTGAGCATCGACGTCAACCGGCCAGTCCACCTCAAGCCCACGCTCCGCATCTACTCCCCGAAACGCGAACGAGTTTACAAAAGCATGAGCAGTCCTAAAGCACAGGTCGCATTTGTCACTACGTCTCGGCATTCCGACTGAAGATACCACACCATACCACGAAAGATGACACGGTCGTATTCTAACAGCATAAAGCGGACTTTGCCGGAGTGCGGACACAGGATGCGCAACGCCTCGGGAAAGGCCTGACTCAAGGAGATGGCACCTTGCTTGGCTGGTAAGTTACCCCGCCGTCTCTCTCCGAAGTCATATACTGACCATGCTGTTTGGCGCAGCTCTCAGCTCTCCTCATCCTCTCTCTTTCGCATGGAACGCTATCGAAGGCGATGCGACCGCGAACCACGGACACCACCATGTCTCCACCCTCTGCGAATAACCAGGCTTGTCTTCGTGATGACGCAAAGCTAGACAGGTTGCGATATTGATTGCGACGCTCGAATGTGACGGGTGCAAGGACAAACATCAGAGGAATCTTGGAGGACTTGCGGTTGTAGCTGCGACTTGGGCTGTCGCATGGTGCTGGCCATCGCTCGGAGGTCGAATGCAGGTTGGATTACCCTTCCGCTCCTAGGCATATCACGCCAAAGCCCGGCCACCGCTTTCCGAAACGTGGACGAGGCCCTCCGGTATAGGGGTGCATTGCGCCACGCTCAGCTCGGCCACAGGCTCCTGGAAATCATCTACAACGCGACCTCGGGCTCATCACGTAGGCGTAGACGGAAGGTCAGGAAGTGGTGAGACTCGGCACGCACGAGGTAGTTTGAGCAGGCCTTCTTACTCTACTTTGTCGTCTTTATGGCTTTGCAGCAAGTATTGCGCTTTCGTCGTGAACGACAACTTACCGAATATGCATGCAACATCAGGTTCTCCATCATTCAACAGCTGCATGCCTGCTGCGCGATAGCCGTCAACCATGTTCACGTTCAGTCTGAATCTACCGAAGAAGATCACACTATGGGGAGTGTCGCCATTCGAACATCAATTAGCAATTGCTACGGCGTCTACTTCATATTAACGAGCCACCCATCCGAAACTCCAATGCAGCTTGACGACTCCCGCGGAACTCTCGACTCATTACTGCAACTCTATCATCGACCAAGCTCTCATTCACTGTAATGATCGTCTAGCCAGATATGCGTAAACCTCATGCGTTATACCAGACGTGATTAGGCTGTATTTACTTCCTTTAAATCGAACGTATGCTCATACTTCGTCTTGTTCGTCAAAGCATGACGAGTTTGATTGGACAAGTTACGTGGACACATTACGAGCACTTCTTAGAGACATCATGCTGTGATTATATACTGCCAAAAGTCAGTTCTGGGCGCTGTACTCTTTTGTATTCTTTCCAGCATCGATCACACCTCAAATGGCTCAGCGGTCAAGATGCCATCGATGGCGTAGAACTTTAGTTCAGGATGCATCTACATATTTTAATATGCTCATACCTTGCTGCATGTTGTTACTTCTGTGTGTTAGAGCTGCCCTATTTCTACAGCTCTAAATCCATATCACCACGCACGATGCGGTCGTCTTTATCTCGCATGAGCGGGGACCACTGCACAGCTTTCAGGAGACATTATGTGGGGAGATCTCATGTTAGTACGCCAAATCGTGCATTGATGTACTTCAAAACTAGAAGGCACAGCTTCTGCCCGGATAAGATCGCTTGAAAGTCAGCCATGATCGTTGCTGGAAGTCGGCACAGGATCCACGTGACAGCGCGATAAGCGATAAGCGGGGCCAATCGCGCGACGTCACTTGCTCCTTGCTCACCACTTGGGCACCTGTGCAGTCCCATCCGATGCATCATAAAGTCGTTATCTCATCAATTCGCAACATTGCCGCCTTGCGAAACCCTCAACTCGTCGCGATTAATCCAACAGGTGCATTGCCCAGGCCGAAACTGGTATGATACGGTCGTCGTTCTGTGCAGCCGTGCCGGCACCCTCGTGAGCATCATCGACACGACCACCACCAGTGTAAGAACGTACAAGATACCGTCAATGCATTATCACTGACCACAACCAGGGCAGCAATCTGGATATTGATGTAATCTTCGCCTCCCTCCTACTAGATATCTTCGCATCGATATTGTCCAAGACGAACCCGGCGCCAGCCACCGGAATTCACGACTTTGACCTCAAGCCCGACATACCGTAGCGCATGTCCGCACGCGCATCCGGAACAAGCCCGACTACATGATCTGTCGGCTGAGGAAGATGAGGAGAAGCTACTGGACCTTTCAAGGGATGTGGGACCGCAGAGTTGGTCCTGAGTCCTGAGAAGTCTGGAACGCTGGGCTACATCGCACCTTGGTGGAACGCCGTCGTAGGCTGAACATGGATGATTTTGCGTGGTCTATATGCATCATAATGGACGCGCATTTTCAGTATCACCTCCCATGGCGCCTGTTCGAGTAGCCATCGGAAGTCAATTCATATCCCATTCCGACGGCACGAGGCAGGTCACTGTCTGAATCTCCCACTTCGCCACGCTGACAACGACAGGGTTACGCTTTCTTAGATCGCGACGCAGCTGAGCTCGATCAGCCACCGATACCGCGCCCATGTCATAACCACCCACACCTCAACGGATACCCGACGAACGAGACGACGCATATTCCAACGTACACAGCGTCGCCATACATACGGGAAGGGGTGGAGTGTGACTGAGGGCAAGCTGTGTGCTGGACCACGAGAACATGGCTGGACTTCACGCGGTGTGAGAAAGTCTTCACAAGATGAGCTGTTCAGGTCGGACCGTGGCTCCACATCAGCGCAAGAGAACGGTAGTCTCTTTCAAGATAACCCGGACGCAACAATCATCGCTATGGCGCATTCGCATCAAGTTTCGCCGTGGTTATGCCATCGCGCAATGGTACATTAAACACTATTTCTGAGTCGCCCCAACCATCCAATCCACTCCAAATGAACCCGCTCTCAACTTGTCTTATACAAAGCTTCAAAGATAGAGCCAACGCCCCTGCTACGACAATCTTTTCACCTCCTTTACGCATATAACTTGATCTCCTTCAGGTTCACGTCCACTACCCGATCGGCGCACAGCGAGTCGAACAATTTCTCCCTCATATATTTGAGGACCTGCTTTGCTTCCAGAGGAGAGAACTGCTTCTTGACTGAAAGGTTGTTGTTGATGACTCTGAGGACTTTGTCGAACGGTATCTGTCGCGCTTTCGGCTTTGTTATTGCGAACAACGTGTACAGACCCGTGCGAAAAGCCCTGTAGCGCCCTGGTTTGACTAAGCATCTCTTCCGCGGAGACTTATACTTATTGATTGGGGAAGAAGGCTCTGTCTCTGAGGCTTGCTTATTATTGTCGCTGGTGATCTTAACGGGGCTGCTGCTGCGCGAAGAGTCGGAAGGCACGTCTTTGTTTAGCTGGACACCTGCGGGTGTAGGTTTGGGAGGAGACGCAATGTCGATTTCGCGATCTTGTTCGTCTATCGAGAGAGGCGTGAACGCTCTTACGAGACTCTGTTGACTCTTTGCGTCGTTGTTGACCGAAACCGAGCTCTTTTGATGTTGGGCGATCCCGATGTCATCATCACCGTCGTCGTCGATGCAGATGGGCGCGGCTTGCGTACCCTTAGCAAGATTATCGAGAGTTACTCGCGATTTCAGAGAGGTCGGCTCTATACGAAGCTGGCCATTAATCCGGAAGCCAGCGGTCTTCTTTCCCTTCGACACCACGGACGGCGCTGACTACATTTACATCAGCTCCATGTTACCGGCACTGCTCATGTCCTTGACGCATGGTACTCACTTTCTTGGGCAGTGGACGATTCTTGATCTGGCCTCTTCGACTGCGTGGCGCCCCGTGACCGGATCGCGCACCGGGTGTGCTCTTCTCCTTACTCGCCTTTGCAGAACCAGCCGCAGCTTTCGCGTTCGGCAACAAGGACTATGTCGTCGATCAGAACATACTTGAAGCTGATGGAGCTGTCTCCATACCGGTTTTCGGATTCTGAACCCGTACTTGCTCTACATAACCCGTTAGCATTGAGTGGACTAATGGCGAACGAGGGGTCAACGTACCAGCGCCATGTTGATGGATGGGGTATATCAAGCAACGATACTCTTGATTCTAACCGCAAGAGAAAGGACAACGAAAGAGATTGCTGGAACGCCATTTTGTTGTGGAAGTGAACGCGCCAAGCAGAGATACCCCTGCTGTCGCCCCGGGTGGAAAGGCCGAGAGAAAAGTGAACGTGGGCCGGACTCGCAGGGCGAAAGGGAGAGCGTAAGGTGAAGAGGGGTGTTTAGATGACCTAGAGCGACGGGCTTTTGGTACTCCACACAGTTGTGATACTGTCAATACCGCCCGACATATGAACTGCACGCTCGCGTGCAGCGATTAATCGCAAACAGCCGATCTTCGTAGCATGAAACTAGACGCCGATGGAGCTGAAATTCTGGGGATCGCGATAAGTCATATTGAGAGGGTATACGTAGTCTTGCTGGTCCAACACACTGTTAACGCGCAAGTGATAGTGTTTGTCGCGAAGCCCAAGATCAACGTTCAAGCTTTCTATTTCACGTATGATGGCCACGTTCGATTCGAAGGGAGAAAGTACGCACGGACAATAATGCAATAACTCGTGAGCGTAAGAGTGGGAATAGGCAGACAACGGGGCGAGTGGGTCTTGAGTGTGCCCTCGGAGGCAATCGCTGGCCGCTCACTCCCACCCAGCACAATTTGGTCGCAGGTCGCGATACTTCAACACTTATCACTGCTCTGCAGCTTCTGGATCCTTCCCAAACTCACCGTACCTATAAGGATGGCCTCCGATATGCTTTCTTCGACGTCAAACTTGACACTGTGGGAAACTGTCAGTGCCTGTCTTCCAGCCCTCAATACAGCAGATGATGTCTCCGAAGGCACAACAACGACCGCAATGCGCTATAACCACATAGGTCTTTTGGAGAAATGGGATATCAAGCCCGAATTGGCAGCATTCGAAAAACTCATAACGCCCGTGTTCGATGCATATTCCGCGGGCCCGAACAAGAAACGCCACTCTGCACAGCCAGAATCGCTTAAAGTGGGTGCTCAAATCGATCTGGACGGACGAGTAAAGGATAATCTTGTTTCGCCTGTTCATGAAACTTTACATGAACTCCAAAACCGAGCACACGGTATGGCCACGCCATTGCTTCCGACCAACTTCCAATACTCGAGCGCAAAAGGTTCCAATGCGGACTTACGCCCTAAAGGCTCTGAACCGGACCTCGTCATCGAGGTTGCCGATCTCAAAGGCAGAAAGAGAGTTCGCATCGTGGGCGAGTTCAAATCGTGCACCGCCTGCGATATCGCAAGCATGATCGACGAGCCTTGGTCATACAGCCCCAAGGGGTTACGGAACTTCCTAGGTAAGCTGTGGAAATCCAAAGTGATCTAAGTTGTACTAATGTTCAATTGAAGGGCAGCCATCTAGATACATGCAAGAATTCAACGTCAAGTACGGGTTTATATCCACATACAAACAAACAGTATCTCTCAAGATGGACTGGTCTGTCGTCGACTCAAGCCAAATGGCTCTGTACTATTCCGACATATTTTATGATACGGATTCCACCCTGGCCACATCGGCGCTTGGAAAGAACGACACGCAGACCTTCGGCACATCCTTCGGTTTACTCCATTTGCTACATCTAGTTGCTGGGGAGAACGAGAGAACCTGGAAACTGAATCAAGACGACATTCCAGACCCCCATAAATGGTTCTCCAAACGACGCTCAAGCAAAAAAGCCCCCAAGGCCCTTATCCCTGGACACCGGAAAACACAGGGTTCAAATGCAACGCCATGGGCTGGGGCTTCATTCCTGCGCCAAGATCTGTTACCGAAACACGGAAGGAAAAAACCGGCAGCCAGGAAATTGAAGGGTTCCGGTGTTAAGGACGAACGGAGCGGTGAAGCAACGAAGAATTCTCATCAAAACGCCATCTCCGCAGTACCCACTTCTAATAGCATGAGCGTCTCAAGAGGCCTTCAGCCTGTCAGCGCCGTCAGCTCCAACGAGAACTTTGAGGAATTGGGCGCTCCTGTCGGAAATTCGCCTTTGAGCACACTGCCACTGCGTGGCCGCCAGCAGTCGGAAAGAAAAGCAAAGCAGAACCCGAACTATGTCTAGTCTTCAATGGGTTGAAAGTGAGAGGAGTGCGGCGAAGACGGGGGTGAGGATAACGATGCGGAGAAGGAAAACGACTGGGAAGACCACAAGAGTATGTGCAAAGGCCGGCCATGTATGCATGGAATGGAAGGGGTGGAAGACGTCTGTTGGATACCATCGAGTGTGACGGGCCACTTTTGGCAAGACACGGAGTTGGTGTTGAACTTCTGTAGCTTCTAGATGATCACATTGAGTGTCCTTAAACTTTGTTATGATCAAGGCTGTTTAGCCTTCATGACACACATATGAATGAAGGACGGATTGTCGCAGACCTTGTGTGCATTTGTATGAATACGTGATATTGAGGTTTCAAAGTGTTAGTCTTTTGAGGCGTCGATCCGCATCGTTGTACTCTGGTCCAACGGAGTGAACGGGTTGGACTAGCCTAAGAGTTAGTGTGCGCTAGCCCGCACATGGCTGGCTCGTATGACCGACCCCACCTGGGCACTGTTTGGTATCAATCAACGCCAACGCCCTCGCATAACTACACGCGGTGCGCCTCAACTCAACTCGATTTTGCTGCAACAATGTCTCCTACATCCACCGATCATGATGCAAGCTCGCGCGACAGCAGTTCGTCTGCTGAAGATCGCGATGCTATTTCGTGCGACAGCGTCTCGTCCGCTGAAGATCGCCATGCGAGTTCGCGCGACAGCGTTTCGTCTGCTGAAGATTCCGAGGACTGGGTTGACATTCCCGCAAAGCCCCAAAAGCCGTCTAGACTGTCCTTGTCGTTGCGCAACAATCCCTTCGTCGATAGGATCTTCCGCCTTGCCGATGGGACGCGATGGAAGATCTTGAAACCACTATCGCTACTCGAGTTCCAGGAGGACTTTAGTCCCTGTGAAGCGCGTCAGTTCTACACATGTGTTTGCCTCGATAAGCCATGGAAAGACATTGGCGAGTGCATAGTCAAGATCAAGTTTCAGTAGGTCTTCTATACTCGTCGCTTAGATTTCGAATTAATAGTCGCAGAATCAGCGCCAATCGAATGGCAATACAAGAGTATCAGGCACTGGTCGACGATGATCTGGAATACCTACAATCTCATCCCAAGGCCGACCGCAAGATGCTTAAAGTTCAGGAGCATCATCTTGAACTTTCCACCAAGCCCACAACTACGTACTGGAATTGTGCAACCACAAACGAGATGGAAGCCCTCATTGCCTTAGGGGCAAAGGGGTGTCCACATGCGCCTTGTCTCATCGGTGTAGCGGCAGATTCATTACAACGTGGTCTGCATCGAAAGGCCATTGCAGGAGGCTATTGTGTCTTTCTGCTTATGACCAAGCTGCCCGGAAAACCTTTGAGCATGGACTCGTTCTGCAAAGCAGCGCGCGATGAGCGCGATTTGATCCGCGAGGCTTTCAGGGCAGCATGGCTGTAAGTGACATATTCCTTGATATCTCAGGCACTTCACTAACCTCGCGGTGTAGCGCCGTGGTGAAGCTTGGAGTCGTTCCTAGGGATCGTGCTTTGCGCAACATCATGTGGGATAAGGATGAGTCCAGGTGGTACGTAACTCTTTCGCCGGTAATTGCCTGATATCTAACGTTTGCATCTTAGTTACATTGTCGACTTTGAAGACTACGATAAAGTCCACACCGGCGAGTACGACTCCTTGAGTCGTTCGGACAGAGAGCTCGCTTTGTGGATACCAAGCGAAGAAAAGGTCGCGGAATACTCAGCGGTTTAGTAGGGCTTAAAAAGAGACGCGATCATGCTTTCACCGATCGCATTGGTGGACTATCATAACATCGGCTCTCTTGGCTAGGAGTCGGGCGTTTTGTAGGAGGTTCGGTAGCGATAAATACCCCCATCGAGCGCTGTATCAATGCAGATATTGTCAGATGAACTACTCGATCAAGCATGCATTGGTGATGATAGGACGACAACCTCCGTAAACTATGGTAAGAATTCGTACACCGTACGCCTTCAGTCTCAAGAGCGGACGACAATATATTTTGACAAGACTTTGTTGAAGCGAAGACATTGACCGAACAAGTGTTGTGGTAGGATGAAGCCCTCAGGAGTTCGCCGCGGAAGTCTTCCTTTTCGGGTGCTAGCGCAGCCGAGAAAGCCCCGAGCCCAAGCCTCATCAAACGTCGCGTCACCACCTCGCCTTCTCCTTCGCAACTTCCAGCACTTCCCTGGCTAAGAAGCCCCGCCCTCAGCGACTCGTCGTGCACCTCCGACCGACACCGAAACTGCTTTGATGTGCCGAAGTCGATCATACCTTCTCGGCCAGACATCAGTCGTCGATGACCCGCGTCAGCGCGAAACCCGACTTCGCCCGCATAGCCATCGCCACAGGCTTTGGCTGTCGAGATCTTCCTCCGAAGTGGCTGTATCATGATCGGTGTTTTTGCATGATACTGTCATCTCCACAATGCCAGTTGCCCATGATGTGCCGCATCGAAATCAACCACGAAAAGTGCGACTATGCTATGGAGATTAAGGCGGACGCAACGAACTTTGGAGATTATACATCATGAGACGTGAGGTGGTAGCAGTGAACGGCACATGAATACCTAAGTACATCCCCCGTCTCATCTCTTCAATCGTCACATCCTATCTTCCTTGTCCTCCAGCCTGCTTATTACGCAGTACCACAATGACCTATGAGCGATGAGCTACATGGCATTCATGCAAAACAGCAATGGGTGTCGCCAGAACCTGCGTCGCATTTCGCTCCATGTACACATGTGGATATACGCAGGTAAATACTAAGATAATGTGTACATTAACTTGCAAAAGATGCGACACCCATTGGGGCCAAGCTTGAGAAAAGACGAGGCGAGCGACACCAAAACTACATACGAACGACGTTGAACAAGAAGCCACAAAAGAAGCATCCACCAGTGCACCCAACCCGACGATGAGCGAGAAACCATACCATCTCCTACCGACTCCGAAGTCCTCCCCTCTCCGTACAGCCAGAGCCTGTCTCCCATGGCTGCAGCATGTTTACGAACCTTCGCGCCTTCGGTCGAAATCGTCAACGCAATGCATGATTGCAGCCACACCCAGCTCGGCGCACGAGAAGATCGCCCTTTCCTTCTTCCAAAGGCCCTCGTCCATCCTTTTCGTCTCTCCAACCTTATGCGAGCGATGAAAGTCATGGAAGTACCCGCATATCTGGCAAGGCAGTCGAGGGTTGATATTGTTATTGAATGCAATTCCAGGACTTAGGTATGGGAGACCTTTTCGGCGGGGTGAGCTCGTACCCTGCGGAATGTCCTGCTCGTTGGAGTCGTTGATGAGCTCTTGTTTGGCGCGCTGCATAGCAGGTAGGTGAGCGAATGACTTTGCGAGGCCATCTCGGCGTTCTTTCAACAAAGTTTGTTGGCCTTTATGATTCCACCCCATGAACGTGGAGCGGACGGTGACCCAATGCAGTTCTCGCTTAGGCTGGGCGACCTTGGATGGAAAGACCACATAAGAACATCGGGGAAGGACTCTCTTTTCTAGGCCAAGGTCTTGCACAGTCTTCTTCAACGACCCAACTAGATTCGTTGTTAGCCAGTGTTCTTCGAAGGGTGCTATGGTGAACTCACGAAATGCCTTGCATCCTTCCGGTGTCTCTAGATTAGGACGGGTTTCGGCATGTACGGTTTCGGCATGTACAGTTTGAGCAACAAGTTCGAGGGCAATCTCCGGAGGCGATGCTCGCACCTCACGCCAATGAGCCACACCTTGAAGGCGGATCTCCCTTGGTAACAGCTTTCGCAGCGAATTGATCACCCCCCGTAGCGCTTGCATCGTCGCATTCATCTTTGGCACATCTTTCTTGAATTTGACATTGGACCTGAGACTCACAAACCTCGGACGGAGTAGTCCATACGTTTGCCATCGAAGCGCTCTAGCTACGTCGTCAATGTATGGGTACCACTGTCTTCCAACGCTGGAATTCGGGTCGCTTTTGGCCCATTCGGCGTTGAGATGAGTGGTAGATGGCGATAGATCTAGATGGCCCTTCTCTTTTGCGAGCGTCTGGATGGCTCTCCCAACTGAAAGAAGCGTATGTGCGTCTCGCGCGAATCTTCCGGCATTGTCTTCTGGATCGTGTGGAATCGAATCGAGCTTGACTTTCGCCGTCCATGATGGCAGATCCCGCACAGCATCAATACCAATACTTGCTCTGCACTTGCATGGTATGCGGCCATTTGTAGTATTATTGCCCGGAAAAGATTGATCCAAATGTACCGAGGCGATACGTTCACAAACTGGACATACTGCTCTGCCAGTAGGGTGTATGAAAGGTACAATAGGTTTAGGATGCAGCGAGGACAAAGGGCAATCAGGAGATAGAGCAACGATTGGGGGTGTTGGAAGTGTAGACTTGGATCTGATAGCAGGCAATGAGTGACGTGGTCGATAGGGAAGCAGGAATGATGCGCAGTATCTTCGATGGAGTGATACAGGATTCAATCTTTGCATGAGCGCCATTGGTAGTAGAGTTATCGTGAATCGTTCCAGATGCGTATACAACCCAACTCTCTGCTACAGGTACTTTGTTGTCACCCAAATACCTGATATCGCTTGCTACACCGGCCACTGGCTCTTTGATGAGCTCTGGCGAGAAGCAACTTGCGCTGTCGATATGCGACTTTGGAACTGCGTCGAATTGACATGCTTGCTACGCGTCTTGTCTAGAAGCATTCCTTGTGCCAGTGCTAGACCCGCCTGCGCTCAGCATGATTGCCCTCGTCAGATCTGAAAGCATTCTTTGGGCGTCGATTGAATCTGCTTGAGTTTGACATGTTGACAAATTCTCGTTGTTGAAAGGTATCTTTGTTCGTGGTCTGTTTGGCACCGCTTTGTTGAACATATTTGTGAGGCTACTATAGCGAAATTGCTTTTGCTCCGGCGCTTCGTTTGCCTAGTTTCTAGACATGTTTGGTATTTATTGAAGGACACATGCAGACTGGTGTCGACTTTGCTCATGTGTGGTAGAGAAATCTGCCGGTTGTCGCGGCGTTTGCCACCGTCTTGCCACTACGAGAGAGTGCGCAATCATCTAAATTGAGGGTTGTAGATTCCATAGTCTGGTGAATTTGCTTCCACAATTGTTCGCTGCTTTGACGAAGTCGCACCGAAACTATGTTTGGTGTTGCAACTGCTGTGCATAGCACAATGAATTCCTCCGCCGAAGCCTAGGCAGATCAGTTTGTCCAAAATGGCATCCCAATTGATCAACATCCGTGCGGAACGACTTCACTACCGACATTTTAACAATAATATTGCGACGTTGATGATTCGGGCGTGACCTTTGCCATCACAGTCAATGCGCTAGACCCTTCGCTAGTCTCACCTCCCGCCTGTCAAAACCCCTCTTACCCTGGGCACCTGCCTGCCTCCACTAGTGCCCACATACCTCACCTACCTAGGTATTAAGCCTCAACTCACCCCAACAATCTTCGCGCTCATGGCATCCTCCCGTCTTCTCCGACGAGCAGTACCTTTCTCACTCCCCGCCCGCCTTCTTAACCAACATCGAATGTCGACGAACAAGAAGGCACGTCCACACCTGCCTACGCTAGGTTTCGGTAGGATGGCTGATATGAACAAGAACGCACATCACGTTGGAGCCCAAGAATATGCGGCTTTCTCGAGGTGGCGAGTTAGCAACGACAAGCGCGCACTCCCCTTCAAGCAACAGGTTCGCGAGTACTTCGGGATCGAGGTAAGAATTACGGAGTGTGCGCTGCTTTTGAAAAGCTTACTGACTTCACGTGCTCTCAACTCAGGTGGAGGATAAACAGAAGTTTGGCGACATCTTGGATGAATACATGAAGAGACGGGATGCATACGCGGAACTACCGGTGCCTCAGTTGGGCGAAGTGACCGATCTGGACAAAGTGCTTCGCCTGAACTTCAGCCAGGAGTCGACAGTGTCTCAGATGCGGCAGTTTGAACTGCAGCTATCCAGCCTACACACCTACCGCATGGGCTGCGACAAGAACGTCCGTCTCTATCTAGAGCTTCTTCCAGCTGAGCTCACCGCTCATTACGCCCCACCAGCTATGAGCGAGGCTAATCATTACTCCAACGCGGTCTCCACCCCGTTCATACACGCCAAACATCATCTCGGAGAGCCAGACCTCAGTCGCAATGTCCACGGACCAACACAGTCTGGAGGATCATTTGGACCTATGAGACCATCGCAGATCTGGCAGTTCGAAGCTAATCCGAACGCAGCCGGGAAGGCGCAATCCCCAAATCTGTTCAAATCGAAGTTGGTACACATCGGAATCATTAACGCCGAGGAACACAAGGACGGCGGCATCAATACTTATCAAACACCATACGCCGCCGTAGGGCAGGTTGAAGACAACGGCTTTATTAGTGGCATCTACGCTATTCCGCTGGACTTGAAGGACGACGAAGAAGAGAACGAAATGTCGCCGTCGAGGTGGTACGATCTAAATGACCTCTGGAAGCCAGACAGGGTTGGTGTCTACTATCTCGGCAAGACGCTCGAAGAGTGCAGGAACAACGAGTGGAAGTGGGTGTCCGACGGTCCGGTCGAAGTCATCCACATACCGGAGGACGAGTAGTGAGTGGACTATCCGGCCTTTGTTGCACGGAGCGCGAAGAAGACATGCTAACCTCCATCAGGAGCATGGCTATGGTGTCGAGGATGTAGTCTTATGGGTCTGGTGTTGCTTGGTCTTGAGTTCTGTCGTGAGGCAATGTCGGAGTCTGGCGTGGCCAAAAGGCTTGATGTTTTCTTGTTCTTCTCGCACGACCCATCACTACTCGACACCACTTCCAGCTGGCTGTATCTCCTGCGATCAGCGTTGTCGAGTTGGTGATGGCGGTTTCAAGCGGTAGCGAGAAGTTGATGACTTTGATGCGCGCGATGGTTTTAGGGATGCAAGGATAGACACCAGTAATGAACAGCTCACCGAATCTTGTCCGTCGTGCGTTGGTCCTGGGTAGGTGTAGCGAGATGTCCCAGTGCTGCATGCCTTGTCAGCGCCAGTCAAGCTTTGGGTGTTACCTCGGTCCATGGGGAAGGTAGGTGTATCTTCCAGCCAATTGTGATCTCGCTAGTTTGGTCGCTTGAGCTGGTGATGTATCTCCCTGGAAGAGATATTGCCTGATGTGAGACGTATGGCTTTTGAAGGCGTGGGTTGCACATTGTCCTTGTGACGTTGTCGGCATTGGTCCAAAGGATAGCCATATTCAGTAGGATACACGAACGAATGGAAGTCCAACATCCACATGCTTCGTTTTGCTGATGATGCACGCATTGTAAGAGTGACTTCATGCAGGCATCAAGTCACATTGGTAGAGGAGAAGTGTTCATATTGGCAGACGCGGGCTTGCCATCGCGATGAGCCCTCTGCGGGATAGATGGGTAAAAGCCATTGCGATACTCAGCTGCTAAGGCGCGCACGTTGAGCGGATTTGATGCGCAGTCGTCTCCTGCCCTCACCGAGCGGCGCGCGCCTTCATGCCCAGCTGGTCTCTTCTAGATGAGGAGGCCGGGCCCATATAGATGTGTAAATGTTGTCATCGCGTCGCACCTATACTGATGAACTGTCTTTGAGCTGCAAGATCTTGCGTAAGGGAAGAAGATGCGCGTGTTGTTCAATGTTACGAGTTTTGACGCGGCTGGCGATCCCAACACGGAGCTATCGCGACATGACCACTCCCGCGGCGCTCTCTTGAGCGCTATTGGCGGAGCGCGAGTCAGCCCGAAAACTTCACAATCCATCAACCACGGGGTCTGACTTTTCCCTCAGCCGCCATGCCTTCTCAATCAACGATCTCCGATCAGGAGGAGCTGTTTCGTCGAAGTAATGTTGCACTCCCTACATCTCTGATCAGGATTGAGCTCTTGGCATGAATCTTGTCCGGCGTCTGGCGATAGGAGAAGCACCACGTCGCATGTATGAGTTTTTGCACTTGTGCCGGCGATGCATGGAGTGCGGCACATCGCGATGGTGTAAAGACCATGTTCACAAAGCTTGGATTTGTTCGTGTTAAGACGGAATCAGCCTGATGGGTGGTAGCAGGACTGCACCACATGTGGCGTGCTGCCGCGCTCCTTCCCTCCAACCTTCAACACACCAGACGGGCAATGAACTTTTCACTGCCACCACTGAGTTTACCCGGGCAGAGCGCCATCCCTAATTTTTTAAAAGCCTTCCTCCCTTGGAATCCAGCCGGAAAAATACTTGAAGTTGACGCATACATCCCGTCCCGGAACCAAGAACTCATGTGTAGAAAGGCAGACATGACACGAACCGACCACGAAGTATTGGATTGAGATAATGCTATGATGAGTACTTCTACTACTATCTGTTGCCTATATCTGACTCAGGAAGTTTCGTCCTCGTCATCAAGGACAAAAACGGGTCATCACATCGCAGATGCACCACGGCGAAGATGAATGATTGACAGATGATGTCAAGCAAGGTTGTCATTAACTAATTAAATATACATGGATATGGATGGGTGTCATCGTGGTAGTCATTATTCGTGTCTTTGTCTTCCGTCCGTCTTCTAGTATGATCAATCTGCGCACCGGGCGCGGCCTCGATATCGATACGACCATGAGCCTGCGTCTCAGGGAGCCTGAGACTGGAAAGTCCAAGAACATCAGGCATGGCAAGGTCGGGAATGCCAGGATAGCCGGCGAGTCTGCGCTGCGTAACCCCCCACCTTGAATCTGTCCTTTCCGATCCCGAGTCTGTCCTTCCTCCTAACATGATCAAAGACGTTGTAACGCGGCCCTGCGCTCCTCTTAGCTTTCTTCTTTTCTTTGCCCTTGCCCTTCTTCTGTTTGTCTTGACCCTCTCCCAGAACCGACCACATGCCGTTATCGTCTTGCACCGCCCTCTTCATCACTTTCTGCTTCTCTTTGTGCTTTGCATTTTTCTTCTTCTTTGCCTGCACAGCTAACGTGGCTGGAAGCGCCAGTGCGCAGACGGTGTTGATGGTAGAGCGACCAGGCTCGGGGAGGCCTCAGCTGCAGTATCGACGTCCATCTCCTCATGCCCAGGCTGCGCGTGGCTAGCCTCATACTGCCCGATCGAGACGTCCCCTATCACGCTCGCAATCTGCCAGCTCGACGGCCACTTCTTGCCGTTTTCGTCCACCCCCGCCCATCGCACCCGATACTCCGGTTCATCGGAGTTTCCCGGGTGTCTCTTGTGGGTGAGGTAGTCGACTTCGTAGGTTTCTTTGGTGTGACCCGCCGGAATTGGAAGCTTCGCGCGAGTGCGATAAGTGCGCGGCTCATAGAAGTTCATGCCACGAGCGGCTGAGTAGCGGGACAAGCGGCGCGTGGGCGCGGTGGAGTTGTCACCTACACGACGTCAGTACGACGATCAGGTACAAGGAGAATGGCGGTAGCGAGTCAGAGCAAGGGCCATACCGTCGCGTGTCATGATGGCGGGGTAGCGTGGGCGCTACGCCGCTGGTGTGGCCGAGAGAGATCGTGGTTGGACCGGAGAATATGCCTGTGTGCGCTAGCCCAGCCTGCGTCATATGGTAGGCATGCGCAGCACCTTCTTTCAACGACGACACGCGAAAGCAGCACTGATTTTATTCCGGCAGGCCAGAGAATGACGACTTTTGTATGGATCTGCACCCTCATCCAGAACGCAAAGGGCTGGCGTCGTTTGGATCTGGGGCCCTATCTGCGCGCAGAGGTCTTGGTGAGCTGCGGCGTTTCTGGCTGCGGGACGCCCACCCAAAGTCCTATGGCTGCGCACACCTGTCCACAGCCGCAAAGCGATCCAACCTTCGTCATAACTTGAATTCTTTGTCGCATTGATCATCTAGAAGTACTTGTGCTTTCACGAGGCTGACATCTTCCCGTCGTGGTTGTGGTGTCGCATGGCACTGTTTTGCAGCTTGCCAGCAAGCCTCACGCCCAACGCGTCCCGTTTCGCCCGGCGATGCCACCATGTTCAGGTCGATCGAGATGAGATATTGACCCGCCGAATCTTCGTGATAGAAGCTCGATATCATGATGGAGGTACCATACACTCATCTGCATGGGTGTTCGTCGATGAAATTTGTCCACCTCGTCAGTCGTCCACAAAGATGCTCGAGAGGCCGAGAACGTGTGAGGGTCGCATGAACAGAGACATTGGCTCCAGCTTATGTTTCCTTTGGACTTCCCTGAACTCTTATCGTCATTTCGAATTTGTGTCGCTGCGAGGCAAATGTGAAACACTGATTCAACGCCCTTACTCTCACCACTTCGGTTCAGCGCCAGCGCAGTTGTGAGATCAAGCAAGTGCTCGCATCGCACCGGATGTATCGCTTCCCCTATTGGCTAATGGTCCGCAAGCATCGAGAGCAGTACCATTATTCTCATTGTCTACTCATGCCGAGGCAATTTATGCCAACCACAGCGCACTGCGAGCGAATCCAAAGACCTTGAATCATTGCCTCAACCCTCATCAATATTCTGACCAGATTACAGACCCAAGGCCGACCCAGACGGCATGATAAATATCGCGTGTTTCCTCCCGGATGTTCTCATCGTGGCATATTCTACGCAATCCCCAGAACATTATCTCTACCCAGCGGACGAGAGCAGTGGCAAGATTTCGAAATCGCTAAACATCAATCGGACCTGCACTGTGACCCTTACGTGAGTACATTATACGGAATCACGTACCCTTCTTCCCTGTGCTTCCCCGCTGACTTCCAAGATCAGGCGCAATGGACAACCGTCGTTCGCCCCTACCTATCTGGCTCGATATCCTGTTGTTCATAAACCTCACGACTGTCATTGTCTGTACCTCCAAGATCTTCCTTCACAGTCTCGGCTACTTGGATGCCCACTACATCTCGGGTTCGGACACAGATGCTCGCGTGTTGCTTCTGGGAGCGTTCGTCATGATCCTGATTGCCAACATGATCATGAGGAGGGTACAAGCCGTCATCAGAGACGTGGAGAAGCTCAAGTCTAGCATGGCGCTAGCCCGTCGTGAGCTAGCTGTCGCCGAGCGTCATCGTCGAGAGTCGCTAAGGGAGGAAGAGGACGAGGAATTCGAGCTCATCTTATCGGACGCTACTACCGATACGGTGCAGGCAAACCTGAACGCACTCCGAGCCTATGCCGACGCCAACAACGACATCATGGCGATCCTGGACAGAATGCATGGTCGCAAGGACCCCGATATGGCTTCCATCAGGAGTGTGCTCGAGGTCAGAACCACCATCGAAGAGCTGAGGAGGAAGAGTGGCGACGAGTTCGAGATGCACATTGCTCGCTTGGACATTATCCGTTCGGCCTTCAGGCAACGAGACACCTAGGATACGTACCATGTTCTTCTACCCGGACTCTGTTAGCGAGACGAAGGAGGTCGTATTTCCTTTTATACATGTGTTCGTGTCCAGTACTTTCCTAGTTACTGCGAAGAAACTTAACTAGCATAGCAAAGATTCCGTCAGCGTCTTATCATCTCTCTTCCCCGAACGGATGAATGGCTCCTGTCTTGCGATTTGTCATGGATGAGATTCAGCTATAGCCAGTGTACTGCTTTCTCCATACTGGGCTCGTCTTCAACCGAACTTGCTGCGGTAAGAACGGGAGTAAGCCAAGGACCATGTTTCAATTGCGATGCATCCTTTTATTTTCCAAGGGTGATACACAAAGCCCTCATCCCTCATGGGAGATGGAAAGCCCAATGGTCTTGAACCTCACTTCCAACCCAGACGTGTAGTCTAGCCTTTCTATCACATAACTCTCTTCTGTCGCCTATCTTCAGCTTCGAGAAAAGGCTCGGGGGAAGAGAAGTACACTGGGCCATTCGGCATGCAAATTAGGCTAGCAATGCGAGAAGAAGAAGCCGAGGCTGGTGCAACAGGCAGCTCGGATCGATACGATTTGACAATGAGGCACCACGTCGGCTTCTTTCCACACTATTTGACCTTCATATTGTTGCCTGCTGAGGCGCGGCACTGGTACTGCAATCTTGAGACCGGTGCGGAATACAGGCCACATCTGAGCTTGTCGAGGGATCATCGGGCTGTACGCATTCCTCTCCGCCTCTCCTCGCTACCTGACACAACCCACGATCTAGCTTACAGGCCCATGACCTCAGCGGGGTCAACACCATGCAACCGGGTGTATGTATGTGTCATCCTCCTCGTGTATCAGCAACCCGCCGGCATAGCAAAGAGCGGCTTCGCTTATTCGGACGTCGTCGAGGGGACAGAGTTTGAAGAGGGTCATCGTGGGCGCATTGCGAGCTGAGACAGATGCTACAGATAGTCGCATGACTGGCCGGGATCGACTGCGAGGAGGCTCAGACGAAGATTCGTGACGGGCGATGTGCTAGAGGACGGGAGCATCAGTCTCGGCCGCTAACGCCTACACCTTACCTGATGGCATGGTTTTGCGCGACTATGCAATGCTAGTAGCCGTGTTTTCCTCTACCTTACTCCGTCGGATTGTCTAATCTCTTGCGCATGGAAGGAGTGTTGATGCGGGGTGGGATCGAAGACTTGTGCGTATGCGTATGCGGTAAAGGGTGTGTTGGCGGACGATGAAAGGCAGTCGCAGCCTGGTACGCTTCTACATACCAAGAGTCGGTATGAAGCCAATCCAGATTGATAGAGCCTGGGCAGTTTGTACCGGTGTTAGGCGATGAATAGGGATCGCAGCACGAGCTCTCGGATCGCAATGCCCTCCTTATAGGAACTAATGCGCCTTCATACGCGCCTCAGTACTTCAAATGCCATCTGTGCTATTTGGGAACACGGCCAGAGGTTATGGCGCCATCGATACTGCTGGGTGTCGCGATTTGGTGTTGCGATACGCGCCGCACATGGCTAGTGACGTCGCATCACCAATGGCGCATCGCAACGCGTTGTTTGAGTCAAGAAAGACACAGTAATGTAAGTGTAGAGCGCGAGTTCATTCTGGCGGTACGCGTACCGGATGCGCATATGGGCATACGCTGTGTTCGCACTCGAGGGCGCGGTGGCCTGCGATCTTGCCCGGGTGGGAGCTGATTAGTCGGCACGTGATGACGACAGCTTGGCAGGGTCCCCGCAATCGAGGCTCAGCGCATCTGCCAGGTGCTTCTGCATCTCTCCATACGCCGTACTCTGTCGGCACATAGAAGAACACCTGATCTACCAATGGCGGCGCGGTCGCCCACGAACAAGAGGCATCGCATCCTTGTTGGGCGCGGGCAACGCAGCTGACTTCTGCGCTAGACTCTTCGCGCTTCACCTCAACGATGGGTGACAATACTGCACCAAGGTCGTCTCTCCGTCTCAAACTTCGAAGGGCGATAGAAGTATAGTTGTATTAATCTTTTGCCCACATTCTGCCCGGACAAAGTCGACACTTCATCCACGGCGATAGGAAAGTAAACGGCACGGAAGACGATGGACTCAACGATGCCAGTTCTCATGCGCTGGAACGAAGTCAAAAGAGTCAAGCCGTATTCCGGCATCAAATGTTTGAGAAAGAGCTGGATGCTAGCCCATTTATCACCCCAAACCGTACGCAGAGAAGAGAAAGCTCCGGAGCGCAGCATACCATCCCGATTCCAACGCCAGCCGTAATCCACTACCTACAGGTCTTTGATGATGCACCTCATGAACCACATCATGACAATGAGCGAGAAGAACATGACAAGCAGGGCCTGTCCGATCGCCACGGCAGCCATGACCATTGCGACAATCGTAGCGAGACCCTGACTGATAACCACGCTGCAGAACATCCTGATGACGACCTCGGCTTTAGCTTTCGCTAGAGCCACGTCCACCTCTTTGTCAAGACATCCGGCCCGCTCAGAAGGGACTGGTACCTCTGCATGGTCGGGCGGACTGGCGGCTGGGAGTTCAGATGTAAGCAAACGTATGCGAAAGTGCTGATATATCGTACCTTCCACCGGCGCTATCTTCGGGGCGTCGACCGCAGAAGGCGCGTTCTCACATTCCTTCTCACGCGGGTTCGACGATGGGTGCTTTGCCTTGCCCGCAAGCAGTAGGTCATCGTATGGGTCTCCCTCAGTCTCTGGTCCAACGTCAGTTTCGCCATGACAGCTGTGGCACCAAGACCGTCACTGACCATTGCTGGAAGCATGCATCGTGAAGAGCGTGCTGATACGTTCGGCAATCGGGCTGTCGAATAGCCGGTCAGGATCACCAAGCTTGAAGAGAGGTTGCAGCTCATAGACTTCTTCGTGGCGTGAGTTGTTGACGTTGCCGACGCCCGACATGACGGTGAGTTGGTAGAATGTCTTCGAATTGGGATACTGGGCGCGTGCGATCGGCGAACAGGGTGAATGCTCGATTTTGAGGAGAGAACAGCCGTGAACAGATTCTTGATGTGGTGCCCGAAGAGAGAGCACGGAAGCCGACTTCTTATCCAGATATCGCTGCACGTTCGGCACTCATTCAAATCGAACCAGCGATCGTGCTTAGAGACACCCATATTTTGGGTAACGTATGGCCACGCTCAGTGCTGTCCGTGTTCTGGAACTTCTTCAATCGACCTTTGGCCCAATCTGCTAGCCGAGACATGAAGGATTCGCTCCCGTCTCGGTCATAAGAAGCACAGCGTCAAAATACCGGACCTTTGCACCATCGTTCGTACCTTTGAACTTGCCTGTACTCATGAAAACTCTAGTCTACCGGACTGCATTGTTAGTATTCCTTCGCTCGTTGTTCGCAAAGACCTGAGTGCGATGCGGCGACCATTGGTGCTCGCGCGAGTTGTGCCGTCCCGGGCTCATGCGGCACAGACACAACGAAGTTACACAAGACGCGGCTGGCCACGCCGATTTCCATTTCGTGCGAAACCTAGTACCGGATCCTTCCCGTGATTGATGTTCTTGGGGACGCTGTCAAGACCAAAACAAGCAACGCACCCACGTGCGCGGAGATAAAGTTCTCGCCAATAATACGCACCCGGACTGGTAAAAGCCAGTGGTGGGTAATCCCTGTGTGCTTCGTTCCGCGAGATGTGGTGTTGTCTTCGATACATTCTCCATGGCTATAGATCGGATCGAAGCACGAATGTGCTTGTCCCGCTCACGGATAGACTTGTATCTGGCTATATTTATGCTGATTTGTTGCAAAACCCCGGAAGAACGTCTGCGCACAATGATTGATTCTTGAACCCTCATTACAACACTAGCCATGACGGCATTCCTGATCAGTACTATCCTCGGCGCTTTCTTGACAAATGGAGGACGCAGAGGCTTATCGTCCCCAAGAGCGGTCGCAACGCTATTCTTTCACGATGGGGTTTGAGATATGCCGTAACAGAAGCAGCGAAACCCTCCAAGCGCCAGTTGTAAATGTTCTTGTTCGAAGAGGAATACGCAGGATGACCGTATAAGGAGTTTGAATGCTAGGTAGCGACTGCAGATCAGGCACGATCGTACGTATAGCTCATCGATGAGAGAGTCCGGCAATGACGTTCAACACATGCTCGTGATTCCGTCTATCTCGCCTCTGGCTACGTGTTGATGGTCCCATCTTGTACGGAGCGAGGGTGCCCAGGGACTGGACAGGCAGAATCGGCTGAGGGCGAGCAGTTTGGCTGCAATAACGTGGGAGCGTCAAGTTGTCGTCGCTTGAGCAGCGCTGAGGCGGGCGGGGTATCGGTGGAGTGTCGTATCGGTGTGGGCGTTGATGTGTAGCGAGGGCGTCTAGCGGGCAGTCTTGAGGTCGAATGCGGCATCGGCGATATGTTGGCAATGCTCGTCGTCACTGCCTTGCCAAGGACCCGCGGTACGTCCTACGGTGTCGTGTCAGTCGCGACAGAAGTAGCTTTGGGGATAGGGCGATGAGCCCATACCCATTCGTGCGTCCGGGATATCGCGATGTCGCCCGCATTATATAGTGATGTAATGCGTGTAGGGTAGAGCGATTGCGCTGTGGCTGTCTCTTCGGCGTGTGTGAATGTATCGTAAGGCTGGCGGGGGCTGCTTGAGGCGCGACGCGCTCCAGGGTTGGCGCGCGCGGGGCCTCGGCGGCTACATCATACGGGTGGGCAGGCGTACATGGTAGAAGGATTGCCCGAGCTCTGGCTGAAGTAAGGGCGAAGGCAAGTCATCATGGAGGAGGCGGTTGTGGTGTCGACGAGAACCACCCTAAGGACAGCGAAGTGGGAACACAAGGGTGGGTGGTTGGGCGTGGTGCTGGCTGTCGCGTTCCGGGTGAAGGTCGGGTGACGTCCAGGTCAGCTGAGCATGTCGTCTCAACGCAGTTCAATCGTGTAGAAAAGGCCTAGGGCAAAAGGGCCGTCCGAGTTGGAGTGCAACATTGTCGTTGAATTAAGAAGGGTGTCAGCGCCCCAACCTTCGGGTTAGCGCCCTTTTGCGCCAATTCCCCCGCTCAAGAGATCCTCTCTACCCCACAACCATCCGACATCTCGACCCCGGCTAGCGGACACGGCCGCAGTCTTTCGCACCCGCTACCCATGGTGGACCGACTGTGAAATGTGATGCCATGTCGACTTGTGGTCGCAACAACCTCCTGGCGGTGTTCACCAGAGCTCAGGCAAGCTGGTGAAGAAAGAGGAATAAGAATTGGAGATGGGGCTCAGGATGTGGTGCCGGATTTTAGTACGCCGATTAGTATGAGCTATTCGAAGTACTGTTCCCGGGCTTTGAAGGTCTAGAGTTGCCGTCAAGGCAAATCTTAGCCTACCGTCTCTTCTCTCCACTCACATTCACCAGCACGTCGAGGCCGAGGCTCCTGTCACCGGCGTCGACTTGCACGTTGGCCGACCTTTGTGCTCGTCTTGATCTTTCTGTCTACTTCAAGCAGACTGGAGCGTTGACGTCCGCCAGCATGGCCAGATCGATCAGGTGCTTTCTCATGTTCCGCAGTCTGTGTTTCTTGGCTGCTGGCCCTCTACTGATAATTGCGTTCACTCCAGCATGACGGGAGCGCGAATGTAGACGAGGTGCTGTATCTTTGGGAATTACCAAGAGATGAATGCTTGAAGGTGCCTGGCAGTCGACATCTGGAAGGCTTCGCTCTGGGACTGGCTCGTGGAAACCTCAGCAATCTCATGTTGTTGATATGAGCTGATTGCATCACAAAACCGCAGCCGCACTATCGTGTCCCATGACTAGGACGCACGTATACTCGGAGTGGCTAAGGGCCTCCTTGCTGTTAGCCCATTGTGGATGTGAGGCATGATAACTTAGTCGGAGGATTTTGGAAAGATTTGTTGAACTACTTTTGGTGCACTAAGATACCCTAATTTGTCTAGAAATTTTGGAGCATTTGTGCTATACGTGCTACACCACGATGTCTATCGAGAACTGCACGAGTCCTCGCCCAATCTTCCCTGTCTGATGATTCTCGGGCATCTTCACCAGCCTAAACACATGCTAACCCCGTGCCGGACGGGTCTGCATCCTGTTGACCTCACCTTAAGGCGGTCCTCAGTTCTGATATCAGACGTCTCCGTATAATCACCAACCATCGAATAGACTATCGGGGGGATGTAAAGGCGCTTCATTTGCGCCCCCCAAGCCCATGCCATCAAGCCATTCGTGGATGACTTCGAAGCTCTTCTTCATCTTCTCTTCTCCGCTATCAATGCTACTCTCGCGGAACATTTGGGCGATATACCGGCTTGGGATAGCGGTGTTGGTTCGACTCTGGTCGCCATGAGTCGAGCGGCGGTGGCGGGATTGGCGTATTTTTTCGAGTCTTGGTTTCCTTGACCAGGCCCTTGCCTCATAATACCAGTCTGCATGGCTGGCCCAGTGCCTGAGGGTCCTACGCTGGCTTTGTTTCCGGTGGTCCGATTCTGTGAAGTGTGCTGATGATTTGCTGGGCGTCTGGTGCTTGTCCTTGGTCGAAGCGCACTTCTTGCAAACGAGCCGACAACGTATGCTCTTGCGGTTGCTTCAGTTGACGCCCCGTCACGATAGAAGACGTTTGACTGATAACGTCTGGTGGGTATGCTTTCGAATGGCTGAGGTCGTGTATGGTTCGCATTAAGATGAATATATAAGCAAGTGGGTATCGTCAAAAAGGTGTCCAAGTCTGGTATAGCCCTCTACCAGTATCAAAAAGGTCGTAAAATAAGAGTATTTGCAACATATCCTCGGCAGCTTCTATGGTTCGCATCTTGCACTTTTAGTTGGGAGAGTGTGCCGCGTGCGTCCCGACTCGCATGGTCGACTTGGACGCTCCATGTTTTCATGTGATCATCACCCATTATACCCGATTTGTCACGCCGCGACAAGTATGGACGATAGAGATGGGGCAAGTTGGGCAATTTCAAACGCTGAATGTACACGTTAGCCACCCAGATAGGGTGAGGTGAATGCGTCCTTACGTTTTGCGTGGTCACGCACCTGCCGAAAGCAAAGTCGAGGTGAGCGATGGCCGCTGGAAATATGCGCTACAATAAGATAAGCTTGTGTGAATTGATTTATGAAGGGAAGCAAAATGTGCTCAGTAGTTGACAAAGCTTTATGGGGATAGAGAGGTGGCAGTCCTCGCCGAAGGTGTGGTTGATTAAGACCAGATGGTTGTGACACGGACAGTACGGGCATGAGAAGGTGATTCGATGGGATGGTAGAGGTTGGAGGTAAGATGAGTACTTCGATATATATATATATATATGGGAGGTGTATCCGGCACGCGAGAGACCGCCTCTAGGGTCGATAAAGGCAGATGGTGAGAGAAACGACGTTAGTTTATGTGGGCAATCGAATTCCCTGTTGTACGATCCGCTGCGCTTCTTGTTGTGGGTGCGAAGAACACATTGTTCTCGCTCACAGTAAACATGCGCATGCGGCAAGACAGCTTAGTCGACAGAACTTAGAGTTTGAAATACTCAGTTTGACTGCTTTTGGTACGTGAGATAAGGTAAAGCGATTCATGTACTACTATTGAAGCTCCTATAGATTGCAGCTATCGCCAGATTTGCATCTCGTGCTTAACACACCGCCGCCACGAACACCATCAAAGTTGCAGAAATGCACCTTTCGTTAAATCCTGTGTACTGCTTAACAAAGTGAAATGCGGTGGATGTCACTAACCGGGATCGATCACCGTAATGGACCTGAGTCGATGCTCTTTGTGTATCTTATCGCCCCGTCGCTCTTTAGTTCTATGCCCTCGTGGAATCACTTGTTGTATATTGTGGATGTGAAACCTCTCTGTATAATTACCATTTTTTTTTAGTAAGCCAGCAGGTAGCCTAGCAGGCGCTTGGTTAAACCTACCTAGAAGCATCTCG